TTGTTCCATATAAACCTCCTCATCGAGATCCCCATTCAAGAATGTCGTCTTGACATCCATTTGATAAACATGCAATTCATGTATAGAAGCTAATGCGAATAATATCATAATTGATGTTATTCTAGCTACCAGTGCATAAGTATCAAAATAGTCTATTCCTTCCTTTTGTCGATAACCTTTTTGCTATTAGTATAGCATTAAATATATTAAGAGAACCATCAACATTGTACTTCCTCCTAGACACTCATTTACATCCAATAGGTTTGGATCCGGTGGTAAATCGAAAAGTATTCATGTATTGTTTAACATAATTGAATCCATTTCATCCTTAATTGCATCTTTCCAAAAAATGCTATCTTGAGAATTCATAGCTTCTCTATAAGTTTTAGGATTAGTTTTCACTTATAGAACAAAATGAATTACTCTTACAACATTATTCTCATTTTCTTCTACTAAGTAGAACGAAATAAGTTGAGAGTCAATTTCATCCGGTCCTAAAAACTTTTTAATTCGAATTCTTTTGCTCCTTCGAGGTTCACTAGATTTACTAACAAGTTTAGAAGATGTTTAATCTTGTGTTCCATTAGGATTTGTGATTTCTTTATAATTTCCCTTAATTCATTATTCGAAGATAGTGAATTATCAAAGAACTCTACGTCACTGAATTTAATAATCACATTGGACTTTAAGTTCAACAATCTATATGATTTGCTATTACTAGTATATCGTACATTTGATGCCTGTTGAACCTAACTTGGTCCTATTAGAGTTTGTGTTCTTACAATAAGCAAGATACCCCTCACACTTTGAAATATCAAATGTTTTGTTTTCTTCCTTTCCACAATTCATAAGGAGAAATCTTAGTAAATTTTGAAAGAATTCTATTCAATATCCTAGATGCACTCAATAATGCTGCACCCCATAAATTAAATGTCAACTTAGCATAAATTAACATGGCATTTATCATTTCACCTAAAGTTCTATTTTTTCTTTCATCCAAATCATTTTGTTCGGGTGTCCCAGGTGCATTGATGAATTATGCTTCATTGTTCACAAAATGAGTTAAAATTACTAGAAAAGTACTCACCTCCCCTATCCTTTTTTAGAGTTTTTTTTTTACTTAGGTGATTTTCAACTTCATTTTTATATACTCGAAACATGTCAAATGTTTCATGTTTATGCTTTATCAAGTAAACATACGCATATCTAGAATAATCATCTATAAAGATAATGAAATACGTATTTCCACCTCTAGTCAACATGCCATTTAATTCACATATATCCATATAAATTAATTCTAGGATACTAGAAGTTCTTTTTACACTTTGATAAGGCTTCTTAGTCATTTTAAATTCTACACATATTTTCAAATTTAAATACATCATTTTCATTGTATGATATTAAGTCTCATTTCAACTTTCTTTTCATGGTACTCTTACCTATGTGACTTAATCTAGCATGCCATAATGTAAATGAATCAACAATATAAGCAGAATTAACTTTATTATTAATCAATTTGTCAATGATGCATAATTTGACCATTCCTTCACAAGATTAGCATTTCCAACAAATTTTTCATTTAAGAATAGTACCAAGTATATCAGATTAATAAACACATTTTATGTCCGATTTTCTTAAGAGATTTTCGCTAATCACGTTTTTATTTATATCAGGAACATGTAGCACATTTGTCAAGGTAACGTTCTTGATGGAAGTGAAGATGATCTCTATATTTCATTTTTCAACCACTTTGGAGCAAACTTCGTTACCCATTTGAATCTCTTGATTTCCATCAACTTCATAATATGTTTTGAACAATGATTTATCATATGATACGTATAAGATCGCACATGTATCATACTACTAACCGGGAACCTTTCCCTTGATAGCATTAATTTCACTTATGGTGGCCACAATATTGTCTTCCTCGATGGAGTTAACTTTTCCTTCGGAGCTTTTGCATAATGTCTAGGTTTTCTACACACGAAACAACCACATTTGGTCTTCTTCTTGAACTTATTAAAGTTTCTTGAAGGGTTTCTCTTGTTGGATTTGTTAGAAGGCTTGATCTTCTCCACAACATTGACTTTTGAAGTGCCTTAATAAGAATTGTCATTCTTATCTCTTGCCTTCGATTCTTCCTCAATTCGAAAATGTTTCTGCAATTGTTCCAAATAATTGTCTTCGAAACTATGCATGATTTTCTTTCGATATCATTTCCAAGTTCTGGGAAGTTTTGCAATAGTTGCTCGTACTTGAAAACTTTTTGAAATCTCAATTTTGACCTCCTTCAACTTGTTGATAAGCACTTGTAATTCATGAATTTGGGGAAGAAGGGGAATATTCTCAAGAAATTTAAAATCAAAGTACCTTAAAATTAAAAAAAAATATTTGTATCTTCTTTTTCGGCTTTGTACTTACTGTCTAAAGCGTTCGAGATTTCTTTTGCTGATGATGTGTTGGTGTAGAGATCATATAACCAGTCTGATAACACATTGAGAATGTGATCGCGGCATATGAGTTCATCTTCTTGGCGCTTTTGTCTTTCAGCTCTCACGACATCAGTTTCTCCATTTGTTGGTTCCGATAATGGTGCCAATCCGGATCAAGGATGCAGAATATCTTCAACGCAGTTAGTATGAACTTCATTTATCTTGCCAATCTTGTGAAATTGGTTCCATCAAAGCGATCCAATCGAACAAGATCTTGATTCATCAACTTGATCGTCACAATAGGGCTTTCGTTCTCCATTTGCACAAATTATAGTTTGAGATTATTGTTGATGAAAGATATATAAGGTGCACAAAGAGGTATGGAAATGAAAGTAAAGAACAAAAAATCAGAAAATTGGAGAAAACAAAGAAGATCAATGAGAAGATGAAAAGGAAGCCACGAACACATAATCGTTGTCTTCAAACTATATTTGCCCCCTCTCGAATTGAAATGATACTTAAAGGAATTATGACAAATGATTTGTAGGATTAATCAAGTCTTGTAGATGATTTAACACTTAAGCACAAAACTTGAATAACACAAAAAAGAAATTTTTGAATATGATGAAGGAATTTTTTATATCAATTATGTGTGTAATAAATATTTTTTCAAGAATGATATTCATCATCTTGCCTTTGAACATTGATCACCTATGTATAGGTCTCAATAGTCTTCTACGAAATGGTGCCAAAATCAGATGAAGAGCCACCAAAATTCAAACATCACCGCCCATAAAATGACTATATTTTTCTCTATATGGTCGCATAGGCTAGGCCAAACATATGCGACCGCATAGTTAATGTAGTCACAGGACCTTTAGTCACAGTATATGGTTATGCAACCACGTGCAATATTGAACTATGCGGTTGCATAATTTATCATTTTGGCCTCAAAATCCTTTTTTTTATTTCACAACCAATTTTATTAACTTTTGTACAATATTTTAACACTCACTGTACCATCTCCCTGGAAAAACAAAATCACCAAATGCAGTGGTGTGTAACTACTTCTGTTGCTGACGGAGCCACTGCTACTACAAGCGACAGCTAGCTGCTTCCCAATTTCTGTTGGGTTTATTAATTGGGAAAATTTCATTAATAAGACATTAAGTACGATCTATCTAAAATCTAGGAGATACGTGTTTACTTTTTTCAAAAAGCAGAATTTAAATTTTATTTATTAAATAATTAATTAAATATATTTTATTAATTAAATATATTGTGGTCACAATATTATATAATATATGGTTACAATTATATATTAATCACAATTACAGACGCCATAGTTATAAACAACAAATTTTATAGGTCACAATTTATTCTTCGGTCACAAATCAAAATTTTTATGAATTACAAATTATTCCAAGGTCATAAATTTATCAAATTAATAGTCACATATTATTTATTGATCACAAATCACAAATTTTATAAGTTACAACTTAGTCACAAAGTATCAAATTAATTGATCACAATTTATATTTAGATCACAATTTATCAAATTATTAGTCACAAATTAAAAATTTTTTAGGTCACACGGTATTTATTGGTCATAATTTACATATTTCATTGTTCACATATTGTTTATTAGTCACACACCAGCTAATTTATTGGTCACAATCAACCAAATCATTTATGACCACCATTAACGCTTGTGACCACCACCACACCATCGCGACAACCGAAACCACCATCGTCAGAACCACCAACACCACCACCCGATAACAAAACCATCGTCTCGAATACCGTAGCCAACATCACCACCAACACCACTACCCACCCACCTACAAACAACTACGGCACTACTACCACTACCACCACCACCATCGCACCAAACAGTCAACATTACCACCACTACCACAACCCAAACACCACTAAAACCATAGGACTACCACCACCACCAAAAAATATATATATATATCACCACCTCCGCGATCTACACTACTGCAACTGTCATCTGGGCCCTCTAGAGATCCACCACCATGTCCACAACATACCACCACTGCACACCACCACCTCCTCTATCTCCATGTACACCACACCCAACCACCACCACCAAAAAATCCGCAAACTCATCGCCACCGCCACCACGACAGCACACCATCACCGCCTGCACAGGTTCCACTTGGAGACTTGAGAATGGTAATGCCGACGGGTGGTGATAATTCTGCACACGAACGTCCCAGCGCCACACAATGATCATGTGCAGCGGTGCTGCTGCCGCAGCGAGGCATCGTTGCAGCAGCATCGCTACGCCGATCTTCTATAGCTGTCATGTGCCCAAACCAATAGTGATTGCCGGAGTAGCTTTTCTTTTACTTGTTGACATCGTAGCTGTGCGGAGAGAGAGAGAGAGAGAGAGAGAGAAGTAATGATTTGGAATTATGGAATTTTTAGGGTTTGGGTAGTTATTATTTAGAGAGAAGATAGAGGAAAGAGAAATGATAATGGATATTATTAATATTAAAGATTTGAATTAATATTTGATTTTTGTATAAATAATTTTAGATCTGATTTTTGAAATTGAATCTTTAAAATTTTGGTTGGGTGTAATTTCCACTTATTAATTTGTCGTGTGGGCTTATATACGTAATTAATTGTGTATAAGACTATCTTAAAGTTGAGCTCAATTACAGTAATCTAATAAAAAATGAAATTGTTGGGCTTATAACGTCTAAATAAAGTGTGTACCGGATTATATGTGTAGAGAACGGATCTATTGTATTTGACGATGAGCAAAAATACATATGAAAATTATAAATAAGGTTATAGTCCCCAATTCATATACAACTTCTCATTTTTGTATCATCACATTAACACAAGAATACAAGATAAAGTATATTGAAAATGAAGATCTAAAATCTACAATCAAGAACAAGGATTGAAAAATCAAGAATCAAGAAGAATGATTGGAGCAATTAAATTGAAGAACAAGACAATCAAGATTATAGAGCAAGCAAAAATCAAGATAAAAAAACTCAATAATCAAGATTCAAGATCCGGAATCAAGATCCAGTATTAAAGAACTATTCTCAAAGAATTAATGTATGTTTCGCATTATTAATTTCTTTGGTGATTTGATATAGAGGATCTTGAAATAAAGGAATTTAGGTTTTCAAGTTTTAAAAAGTTTCTAGTTTTATAAATTTTAAAGTTTCATAAAGTTTCAACAATTTTACCTCAGTTGTCCATCTATCAAGTTAAAGATTGAAATTATCAAAGAACGTTGGAGGCGTGTGGTGAAGGGAAAGTTGTGGGATGTTTATTTTTAGGACAAACCAAACGGTGGTGTTTGCAATAGATCTGTGTTTTTTATATTTTTTAATGTTCATCAACTTTTAGTGGTGGGTCATTTTTTATCAGATTTGTTGTTTAGCCATAGTATTGAGATGGTTGGTTGTGTTTTACAAATGACGTTAATGATTTTTTGTTCCGTGGGGTGGTTCTCTTGGTGGTGGTGTAGGCAGTGATGACTCTATTGCTAGAGGTGTTGTGGTCATGCTGATGTGGTGCACGTTTGATTTTTGGATGTTGTTGGGAGTGGTTGTGAGGCAAGAGTGGTGGCTGCGACGGCAATCGAGTGTGACCAATTCTATATTCATTGTGACTGTCTGTGATCAGATCTATATTAACGTCACTATATATGACTTAATTACACAGAGTCATAAATTAGACTAACCTGATCGCAGACAGTTACAGTTTGTCACAAATAACACGTCAGTGACGGTATTATTTATGGTCGTGAATTTGAGTTGAAGGTGGTAGTGGTGGTGCATTGGAGATGATGGTAATGATGACAGATGGAGGATTATGGTACTGGCCTGCGGTGTGTGCAGATTTATTTTTTATAATCAAGTATGTACTAATTTTGATTATTTGTGACCAATTCTGTGTTAATTGTAATTGGTTGTGACTTGGTCACATATCATCACGATTAAGATTGATCTGGTCACAAATAGCCATGCTAAAGACAAATTTGATCACAGTTAATTACAGATAATATATGTTAGTGACTTGATTATATACAATCACAAATTAGACGATTACACACAGTCACGCTAAAGATAAATTTAGTCACAGTTAGTCATATATAACACATCCATGGTCACAAACAATATTTTTGGTCACAAAACACACAATTAGTCGGTGGGCGAAGGTGTAATCTTCAAAAAAAGTTTTAAATTTCTAGAAATCCTCTAAGGGTGAGGTTGGGGTGGTGGGGTGTAATTTTCAAAAAAGGTTTTCAATTTTCGGAAATTTTATAGGGGTGGGTCGATCATGGGGATCGTGGGTGTTCGGTGGGTGGGTGGTCCTTAGGGGTGGGGTTGGATATAATGTATGTCATTTGAAATATCTAAACATTATATATATATCGTGAAGTTTAGTTTCTTGATGTTGATTGGAATTACTCAAAGAATTTCAATGTCGACAATAATAAAAAATTAATTTTAACATCTGCAGATTCTTGGTGCAATAATTGTCACTTAAATATTGTTTTTGTATTATTTCTTGATACTCCAGACACCCCCTAATTGGATGAATAGAAAACATCATTTTTTTTCCCCTATTTGAACCAAGTGAATATCATGGAAATTGTAAAAAGGAAAAAAAAAAAAAAATTGAAGTAGAAATTAGTAACTATTTTATTCCAAACAATCTCCCTATAAATTTCGAATTTCGCTGTTTCTTACAAATCAACAATTTCACTTTTTTTTATTCTTTGGATAAAATCATTTAAACGAATTTCTCTGACTGTTATTAGCTAGCTTTGTTGCCTTTCCCTCTACACCATTTTGAGCTACTTCAATTTCAAAGTACATTGAGAAACACGATTCAGTGTATATTTACTGGTTTTAGTTCTCTCTATCTTGATGCAGCTGGAGACCGTGTGATGCTCCCCACCATGTTGAGTGCCACGCATGGCTGATCAACCGGTACCTGAAAATTCACACATAATTAATAAAATAAGTTCACCTAATTTCAGTTTCTTGCAAATGGATATTCTGAGAAGTGAGAATTCATTGACAGATGGTTTCCCACACGGAAAAGAGTTCATTTTCTGACACTTTTCCAGTTCTTTAAGTGAAAAGTTGGTGAAGTAATATTAATTCCATGCAAGTGTAAAACAAAATGAAAGTTGAACTAATGAAATTGAATGAATACAAAAATTTATATAAATTTATTACACATTTTTTCTTCGGTAATTCTATCTATCCAAACTACCAAACATATCGATGTGCATTCAAATGTGTACAAGTCTTCTATCCCATGTTTGATAGGCTAGACTGAAGGGAATCAAAAGCGTAATTGGTCTGATTTGACCGATTTTCAATAGATTTTCAAATCAAAACTATTTTAAACAGTTTACGCCAAAAAAAAAAAAAAAATTATTTTGGTATTGAAAAGAAAAAAACCTATACATATCAACTGTAATTTAAATACCAATAGAACCAAAGAAAAGTCTCCCGGATGGGAATATGAAATTATGGTATTTAATTAATTATAAGTATTTGGTAATGGACAATTCACCAAATTTCCCATTTTCTATAAGAATTTAATAGTTATATTTATTTTGGAGGTTTTAATTATAATTTATCGATCTAATTTCAAGTAAAATTTTAACTTTTTATATTTTTCTAAATGGTCATTTCACACCATTGTCAAAATTTCAAAAACAAAGTCAAACCATTTTAGAATGACTTATTTCAAAACTGTTTTGTTAACAAGTCCACGTAACATTAAATCGACGGTTTCAAAAAATCGATTTCTATTCGATTTGACGATTTTTTTCTTATAATTCTAAAGGAAATAACCTTGAAATAATCTAAAATAGATAACTATACTACATTGTAAATAGAACATGTTGGATCATGGGACCATTAGACAAACTTGGGTTGCTTCCAATTGTACTTTAAGACTCGAGAATCGAGACCATGTACATCATACTTTGACTTCATTGATAATCACGCGAACGCCAGGCTGTTTCAGCACGAGAAGGGATATAAGCCATAAATGGGCACATGAGTAGATCAGGTCTTGACCCATAAATGACACCAAATTTTAAATTACTACATAGTACTGTGTGTATTAATCAGCATACGACAAGTCTTTTTAACAGTGGAAAGGAAAGGAAAGGAAAACTCATCATTAGATTTTACAGAGACAGAGATTTGACACAAGGAGTAGAAAGTTTGATCAACTTACAAAGTGGCCAGCTCCAAGAATCCAGTAAAAATGTAAATTCCTGTATGACTTTGTGAAACCCTTTGTAATTTTCTCATCCCCACAATACAATGGTGTTCTGTCCATGCTCAAGAATGTTTTTAGTCCATCCCATCTGTTAGAATAAATAATTATATGAATCTAATGTACTTTTCCTCCTTTTAACTTCTTATGTTCTCAATTTTAGCACGGACGCGACGATAATAATTCTTCATTTATGCAGTTATTAACATGTAATAACATCAATCTTACTTGAGCTTTTCGAGCCATGCTTCAGTTCCCTTGGTTGAGCAGATCACGTCCAGCTACAAAAACCAAATAATGTACATAATATTTCTGTGATTAGATAATCTTTATGGCACTCGACCAATCATTTTCAATAACAACGCTGCTACAACTAGAAGGATATTACGATGTTCTTATCATTATTGATAATACGCGAGTTAATCAGGACTAAGAATATTGTCCCATAATCGCGCAATATAATTTTCGAGAATGAGAACAAAAAAAAGTATAAGAATCTTCTTACTTGACCGCTGTATACTGTGATATTGACTCCCTTCGCAAGCAATTCATCAACCTCATTGATCCTTGGCCTCATGAAGTCTCCTTCATATGCAGTGAAAACAAGATCTGATTGCCCTCCCCATCTGTGAATTAAACACATTATTAGCCCTTACTAATGATGGATTGTAAAAATAGTGAACTTCTTTCAGTATTTTTAGACACAAGAATAACTAGTCTCACTGGACATAGTCTGGGATAATCTTTAGCTTCTTTTTAATAGGACCATCCATAAGCCTATCAATATCCCCATTGCCATCGGGAGTTGGCCTTAAATAGTTCAAGTATCTCGAGTAACGTTTTTTTGAAATTTCCCGTTTTAGCTCAGAAGCTGTCATTGATACCGGATCCATCCCGGAATCCAATAGAAAATTGTAGAAATCCTACAAAAATATATCATTGTGCGAGATTCAGAATGTTTATCCTTTGAGAAAAATGATTTTATACGCAATTAAAACAATCAAATTGTCACTGGATTGAGCAGGGATAATATGGAATTTTACCACTGAGTTGCTGCTAGAACTAATAACATCCTCGAGTTCGCTCCACGTCTCTGTTGCCTCTACAAACTTACCAGTTGCAAGTTCTTGTTTAATTTGTTGAGCCAGACTGTTTTTTGAAATCTATTTCTTAGCCAACAAATTTTTTTTCTCAACTCTAACTAAATAAAGCATGATAAGGATTCAGAAAGTGTGACCTGTCTGACTTTTGAGCACCGTTGTTGTCAAGCCTTGAGACATCTTTAAGAAGAGGTCCCCATGAGAACTACAATGAACATGTTAAATTTAGTACAATTCTCACTTTCTCTATGTAGTAAGAGAATTAAAATAAGTCCCCTTAAACTGCATACCACAAAATCTTCTGGTGAAATCCAAGTGTCCCCCAATGCAATTCCTAGAAATGGAAAATAAATTCAATGTACATCCGTACCTAGTATTGGACATGACTACGTGTGATCATATTCAATCTTCCTACCAAATGTGTCATCAAAGTAAAGATTCAAATTTGATCCTTTTTTCACATCTATATTTGAATTAATAAACATAAGATTCCAAAATGAGAAAAAAATTATGATTACCTCCAAACTTGAGCTTTAATTTTCCTGCCTCTATTGCCTTTAGTGCTGATAATCCAAGAGTGACAGCATATTTTCCTCCATAAGACTCTGCCACCACATAGAGAGGACTGTTTTGGAGGCTCTCATTTCTATTAAAAATTTCTATCAACAATGTAGTTAAATCATTTGCAGCTTCAACATCAGTTTTAACAAGCAGATTTTTATCATCCTGCTCCACAAAACTATATCCAGTCCCAACAGGATTATCCTATTCAAAATATTAAAAAAAAAATTAGAAAAACAATTAAAAAAAACCAAGATATCATAACTATGGATAATATAAAGAATTTCATTCTTACTACAAATAGAAGATCAGCTATTCTCAGCCATGTGGAATTTCTAGGCTTCAAAAAAGTGTCTAAAGGCCCAACCTCTTCAAAATTCCCAATTCCAACTCCAGAAGCACCCTATTCATATTACAAAATTTATAATTCATATTGAGACTTATATAAACATTTCACAAATCTACCAAGTAATAAGAAAACTCAATTTATAACAAAAGTTGCAATAATTGATCAATTTATACAAATTAGTCTTACAGGTCCACCCTGTAGCCAAAGAATGATAGGCCATGGCTTGTTTGGATCTTGAGACCTGAATGGACTTCTGTAGTACCACCAGAACATGTGAGCCTCTGTTATATCACACGTAAAAGAACACCAACATAAGCATAAAATAATGAACATAATTCTACATCTAAATCAAGAAATTCAGATCTGGAAAAATCAGAAAATTCTGCTTACTGGGTCTGACTTCAACATATCCCCAAGCTTCTGATCCATCTTCTGTTCTTGCACCATTGGCTATTCCTCCATGAGCCCAGAAAAAAGCAAGAACGAAAACAACAATATACGACTTTTCCATTTTGAAGGGAAAAAGAAAGATGAAAAGTTGTGTGCAGAAATGGGAATGGGAAGTGCTTTTATACACAAAAAGGATTTTGTCCTTGAGTCCTTGTCTCTGATTACAACAGAAATAACCAACAAAAGTGGCAGCTGCTGTAATGAAATAAATACCCAGATTTTTGACTTTACAGATGAATTCCCATAATTCTTTCAATTACGAAAATATTTCTCTATGGATTGTCCAGTTGAGCACGGAATCACTGTGGATATCCAAATAATATGGTATGAATGTGCTGCAAAGCTTTTACCATGGTTAAGATTGGAGTAAAATATTCCTGTCATTCTTCTTTCTTATTATAGAAAGTTAAATAAATTGTATAATTATTTTGGGAAATAAGTTTCAGTAGATATTTGTGATATACCATGCTAGATGTACACTTGGTTTACATTGAAGTTCACATCCCCTGGGGTATGGCCCGCAACATTTAGCCTTATTGATTTGTGATACTCAATATTCTACACTGAAATTTTGCTAAATATCGTATTTGGCGGCATGTAATTAGATCTAAACATGGACTAAATAGAAGGGGTTAAAAACTCACTTGGTCACTAAACTTTCAAAACATGTCATTTTAGTCATTGAAGTGTTTTTTTAGCATATATATTCACACGACTTCCATAATTGTTTCACTTAAGTCACTCTTCATGTAGTAACTATTTTGTTGGCGTCTGTCGTTATATTTCTGTAACTAATGACCGGTGAGATGGCACTGATAAACTCTTTCATTGCAACCCGACGCTTAGTTCACTCATCGGAGATCAATGTGACTATACATATTAAATTTTTTGGTTTTCTCCCATGTCATTTCGACGGAGTTTCTGGGCATTAAATGGATTTTAAAATCAATTTATTGGCCAACTTTCAGGGACTTAAAGGAGTTGGGTTTTATAACCAATTTATTGGTCAACTTTGAGGGACTTATTAGATGGGTTCCATGGTTAATTAGGTGATAATTAATTTTTGTCACAAGGTGATTACACCGATGTACTAGCCTCATGGGAGCCACGAGAGTTTTGGGGTCTGTCTGAGCTTGCAAAAGGTTCTTCGTACACATGCAAAAAGGTCATGGACAACCGAAATCTATAAGCTCAACCAATTTCATTCCAATTTTTCTTGCCAAATCAATTGATTTTTCATTAGATTGTTGATTGAATTTTTAAGCTTCTAAACGTTCGAAAAAATTTCAGTCAACAAGAGCATGACTAAGTTTCTATTTAACAGTGAAGATTAATATATTGTGTTGTATTAATTTAGAAAAGAAATGTTGTATCTTGAGAGACAAACATTTGATAATACTGTTAACATCAGTGCGGGGAGAAACTTGTATTAAATGAGATTTGTTACGACATATCGGCATTACCTTTCAGTTCAATTTGCTGCTTCTTTCTATTATTTAGTCGATTTTCTAATAACACGTTGTTGTTGTTTGCCACGAGTATAGCAGTTGAATACGTCACTAAATCCATCAAATCGACTAACATATATGTACCAGTGACTTAATTGAAAAGCTTTGAAAGTTGGATACACGATCTATGCTACAAATAAATTTGATGACTAAAAGTAGCACATTTTTGAAAGTTTACTGACCTGTTAAGTATCAAATTCTGACCATTAAAAAAATCGAGAAAGGGACATGAGAAACCTTTTTTTTATTTTTTGGTCTAATATTCTCTTTTTTAATATGAAAGGACCAATAGAAAAAGGCTAAAAGAAAATATTCTTTGCACGTGTACATTTCTTTTTTGTTGCAACTTAACCGTACGAGTTGAATTAGTATGCCTTTTGGATAGTATGTTTTCGTTTGACTTGTGAATAATTTTGTGAAATTTTAAATTTTATGGTCCAAGAAAAAGGAAGAAAATGGATCTTAAGAGTCCATGGTGGGAGTTTGCATTTTTGACAATATAATGCGAGTATTTATACTTAAATAAAATAAACTTGAATAGATACAAAGAAAGAAATGATAATAATAATTTAAAAAAGATAATATATATATAACTATTGAAGCAATTTCAAAGTATTGAGATCTAAAGATGATAAACAGGTCAAGTTGTTTGCAGATTCGAGTCATTGACAACTCAAGCTAGTCTTGAGACAAGCCAAATGCTGAGTTGAACATCCCTTTTTTTTTAAAACCCCATGAGCCATCTCCTTTTGGACTCATGTATAGACTCATTTTTGGATTTATTTGATTAATTTCTTTAACAAAAACATGAGTTGGATCATGAACTCGTGGACGACTCAACTTTACCAATGAAGCCCACGAGACAAAGGCCTGATTGAACCTAGTTTGTGAACACGAGCTGAGCTCGATTGATTCATAAGAAGTCAACTTCGTGTGTCTAAGGATCGAGATGGCTCGAACATTGCCAACCTATTGGGACCCCTAATTTTTCTCCAAACAAGAAGATTATGATGTGCACAAAAAACCAAAATATCCCAAAGCACAATGTTAACTTAAGTAAAAGGAAACAACTGGCATGGAACAATAAGCCCATGTGCTCCAAAATTATTTTGCTATTGGCGATGATGATCATTAGCAAATATTACATAAAATTCTCCTAATTAGCCAAATAGCCTACTTCCAGCTAGTCATAACAAGGAAGTTGTCGGGTCACTGGTCTACAACTATTAATCCACACAAATTACAAGGCAATCGTAAGAGTTAAAAAAAAATTGTACAAACTTCGACTAATTTTTCACGCCATTATATTCAAATATTTTATTTGTCATATGCAATTGTTTCGAGTATTTTGTAAGGAATTTTTGCCACAGCATAAGCATGACGTTTCTTAATGAGTCCAATTACACAACCTCGAGGGGTTGTTCAATTGGTCAGGTTTTGGGTTTGCTCTCCAATAGTTATCTGTTCGAGTCCCTTCAATGTCATTGAGGTGAATATTCGACCGTAAACTTCAAGACTCCGTGGAATTAGTAGAGGTGCGCCTAATATGGCCCGAACATCCACAATTAAAAAAAAAAAGAAAAAAAGAGTCCAATAACACAAATTTTAGTGTCGATACTCCCAATATTGTTGCTTCGAAGTAAGAAATATTGGAGAAAAGTTAGTCACAAAGCTATAAAGACTTGTGTCTTGGTGGGCCAAACATTGAACTTGCCATTGAATTCTTCAACCTAAGGTGGGAAAAAAGTTAATTGGTAGTGGTAGTCAATAGTCATATCATTAATCTTTGGGCAATTTCAACAATTTATTTTTATAATTTTTTTTTTACAAAATCTATAAATATTTTTGCTAATTTTATTAGAGAAATTGTTAAATGTAAAAAAGAATGTCAAGGAAAACACTTAAAAAAAATTATTAATAAGATTTTCTTGCTGTTCCAAGACGCAATCTTTGTTTTATAATTCAGAATAATTTTTGTATCGTGAAAATTGATGAAGGTTAAAATATAAAAAGATAAGCATCGATCAATATTTTGTGATATTATTCTAGATAACCCAGTTGCATGCCTCATATTGCATATTGCGAGCAGATATTAAATCGATTTCATGACAAGATGAGACAACCGTATTTTACTATACGATATTTGCTGTTAATCCAACATTTTATGAAGGTTCCAAATATTATACAACTTGATTCTCATCTTTTATACGTATTTTATAATATTTTTACTTTCTCATCTTCTCCGCTAACTTTATTTTAATCATCGTAGGTTTTTCAAACATTTTGTAGTTACTTACTACAGTTTGCACTCCAATAATCATCGTAGGTTTTTCAAACAAAAGTTATATTAAACTTTGAGATGGCTAAGATATGGTAAGAGTTAAATGCAAAATCTGTATTTCCTGTGTTTTCATGCGGTACTAAAAATGTCAAACAAGGTGCAAGGATAAAAGTCCAGAAAAGAGTATTGAAATTATTAAAATTCGTGTTATTTATGTCAATTTTCCATTTTAAATCGAACAATTATAGCAAAAGGCCATGTAGGATCGACTTCCTTCCTTTTTTATTTTTTTTTCCCTTGAATTTGGTGGTACAAACGGCACGTGTCGTTGCGTGCCACTGTCAAACGTTGGTTAGGAAATAGAACACCACTTTTCCTCTCTTTTGCTCCACTTCTTGATTGGAATCAACCATGACCAAGAACATTTTTAATTGAAGAATAGAGGTAGTGATCTATAACAAAATTTAGACTTAAAATCCGTTTCGAATAGAGGGAGTGCGTCATGCTAATGTCTTGAATGATCCACGCATTAGGGTCATACATAGACTTGCACATTAAACTATTCATGTGACTGGAAGTCCTAACAACCCGACACACGATGCAATTATCAAGAGTGTGATGTACCATTGAACTAATACCCGCCATGCGAGTCTCCCACCGATGGCTCGTTATGCCAAAAGCGAGAGAATGTCCATCACTCTCTCTTTCCTTTTTTCACCCATATGTAGCCCCACAGGGCACAGGAGGACATGGGAACGAAAAAGGGGCATCTTATCAACTACTTCCAACCTATGATAATAAGTTCACGAACTTTAAGTTGATTTTTCAAACAAAAGATACTAGTGGTCAATCATTGTCCTATGAAAATAGCAGCCATTCACAAGGCCGGCCCTAAGTCAAAGCCAAATCCAAATAGGCAATGGCTTAGGGCCTCACATCTAATGGGTGCCTCCAAATGAAAACCATGGTAGAAGCCCAATTAAATTATTATAATTTCTAAAAGATGGATTAATTAAAAATTTATTTAACAATAATTTTTTTGGTCGATTCAGTCTTATCCAATGAGTTTAACATACATAATTAATTACAAGCTATCAAATGAGTCCAATATAATTATGGTAATATGATTTAATTTGGAAAGCAATGTCACAATGCACACATCCAATAGTCTTCTTTAATGTGTTATAACTTGAATTTGACTTATTCAAAATAATTTTTTCACGGGCCCACAATGTCCAAATTTGATTTATCCATAATAACTTGAATTTGCTACTTTATCTTTTGAATTGTACAAAGTCTTTGTTCAAAATATAAATATATTATTTATTTAAATATTTAAGTATTTTCAGGATTGTAATTTTTTTTCTATACGTTTAAGGGTCTCATAATAATAAGTCGTTTATGGCCTCAAAATTCTCGGGGCCGACCAGACTTCAGTATGACAAAAATAAACATAACAATATTCATTTTTTGAACCCGCACCTATTTCTTTTCGAATTTTTCTCTGTGTACAGAATTCTGCCCAACAGAATTGTGCCAGAAAACTCACATGGGATGGGTCCCATGTAAGTAAAATATTGGAAAAAAAAACCACCCGCCCCCCTTATTGTGTCTATTCTGGCAGAATTCTGTGACTCCATTTTCTGTACACGTAGTGCAATTCTTTCTTTTCTCTCTATTAAGAAAAATGCTCAAAGTGGTATATCCTTTTTGTGAGGAAAAAATATTCGTAAAATTTCTAACTTCCATTAATATCCTCCTATATATAACATCAAAATTTGTCATAGTAAAATTAAAGTTCACACAATCAACAAATATTAAATTAAAAAATCACTTAAGACAGTGGCAGAAATTATTCTTGGATTGTTATTATCATGTTTGTCAAGTTGTTGAAGAAAATTCAAAATTGTGGTGCCTAAGGATTGAGACTTGTGGGGGTGGGCTGAGGAGGGGTCTCTTTCGATACAAGTTTTGAAATTCCATGTCTATCTGTATGTTTGTATGAGCTACGAAAATACATTGGTATCCTATGCAACTTATGTGCACAAAGACAAATTGATATGACTGCTGATTAAGAGAGGATAAGGATATTTTTTACCCGTCAGGCACGGAGGACGAATTTACAGAACCTGCCTGAATTCACTGTCTTCGGTTTTTTTTTTTTTTTT